GTTTGTTAAAAAAAAAGATTTATTAGTGATGAAAGGAAATTTATAATTTTAGTGATGGAACGACTTGTGCAGAAGCAAGAAAAAATAATAAAGAAGCATGTGGGTTAATTCTTTTTGTTGGATGGAAAGGACAGGCTAAAGCACGGTATTTAAAGTCATATTTAAATTTACCATCACATTTCTCTAAATATTCATTAAAAGGACAGTTCTTAGACTCAGCCGCAGACTTTGAACAGAATTGGTTAAGTTTCTAAGTAAAAATTAAATTAAATGTTTAGAAACGATTATTTGTTTAATGACGTTCTATTTTAAAGGAATTGACGATATTTTGAATCATCAAAAATAAAACAATGAGACACTTTTTGTTGGAATTGTGTTGATCCATAAACTGTAAAAACAACACTAAGCATTTTATTCATATCTTTAATCTTTTTGATTGCTTCTTTTATTAAACATGTGTTCCAATCTATAATAGATTCTACTTCATTTAAAGAAGAAATACATAACCATTGTTGAAGATTTATTGGTTCAATGTCTTGAGGTACAATAACAATTATTTGGTTTGTGACTAACACAAAAATATCTTTTGTAATTAATGAAGAAGATAATTGAGTTTGTTGAACATCATCAAATGCAATCACTTTGTATAACAATGGAACAAATTCAGATAATAATGATGGAGAAAATGTTTGGAAATGATACAATAATTCATAACGAGAATCAACTGATAATTGTTTATTATTAAAGAGTTCATGTTTACTCATTCCATACAAATAAATAGGAAGGAATGATCCTTGTACAAGAAGATTTTTATATGTTATTAAAGAATCCATTGTTTTAGAAATTGATTGATTCAAAGTATATTGTTGAGCTTGAATTAATGTTTGAGATAACAATGCATTAATAGTAGCTTGTGTATTGAGATTTATCATAAAGTCTTGTATATTAGAAGATACGTTTAACCCAATATTAAAAACACGTGTTCTTTTAGAACCATCAATAGTAATATAAGATAGTCCAAATTGAAAAAGAGCTTTAGAATATTTAATTTCACCATTAATTGAAAGATGAAAAACAAATGTTGAGTCTTTTCTAAGTACAGGCATTGTATAATTTGTAATTGTTTTTTGAAAATAATGACCATTTACATAATCTATATTAATGAAATTAGGTTGTCTTAGTCTAATTGCACAATCAAATGCAAATGGTGTTAAATTAGATAAATCTATTACTATATTTTGTAATGGTGTTGTGTTTGGTTGATAAACTTTTAATACTCCATTTGTAAGATGACAACACTCTGAAATAGTTGGAACATTTAAGTCTTCATTTTCAAATAAGAACATATGAACAACAGTATTAACTGAAGAACAATGTAATGCTATTTTTTGATAGAAATCATTAGAATGGTCAGGCTGTAATAGTATAGGTTCTTGTGTTGAATTAAAATAATTTTCATTAACTTTCTTTGATAAAACCCCTTTTCCTAATCCACATTTTGTTCCACATACAGAAATAATAGTACCACCACGTGCATTTAATAAGTCATTTGCTAATTCAAGACAGGTACCAAAACAACACCCTCTTGGATTATTTTCTGTTAATTCTTTCATTTGTTCAATATCTAATAAAGAGTCAAATAATTCATTAACACGTTGCTTATTATCTGAATTAATAAATATTGATTTATAATAAGGAATTGTATATTGACTAACTTTCTCATCAATAATAGGAAACTTCAATTGTCTTGTAGTATCTCCAATCTGATATAAAGTAATATTAGTATTATATGTAATAATACAAATATAATGACGTAAAGAAATAGAATTATTAACATAACTTTTCAATGAAATAAGCATGTTCTTATAATCCTTTGTTTGAATAAAATTATAAGAAGTGTCTATCATAATAATTGTTTGGTAAATAGTATTCATTGACTTCTGATACTCAAATTCATAAACGTCATTAGTTAATTCAGGAAATGAGTTAATACCATCTCGTTCCATAAATTTATATCTCAAATAAAACTTTTCATTATTATGACGACAATATCCACAAATATATTTTCCTCCTAGTCTAATCCAATTCATTTCTTTACTCATAAATGCTCTACAATATGCACACCTTCTTATTTAATACTATCCTTTTATCTTTAAAACAATTAAACAAACCGTGGCATATCTGAAACTGCATTTACTTGAATATTAGGTACCTCCTTTTCAGCAAAAGGTGTTATTTGTAAAACTAATGGAATTGAATATTTCTTTAACATTGAGTCATTGTCAGGAAGCACAGTAGAATTAAATGCTACAAATTCTGACATCTCAACGTTATTGATTGTTTATATTTCTTAGTTCTTCTTTAAAAAAAAAACAACCATATTATATTTTGTTATATATAGCATTTATATAATTTACTCAATGTAAGTAAAAAAGTGAGTGGAGGTAAATAAAAACATCAAATTAAGAATAATTAATAATGAATTAATGATTTTCGATAAATATAAAATGATAAAAAGCCATTTGCTAATGAAATAAGATGACACAGTGTTATATTTAATCCTTTTGAAGGAGTTGTTATATGAAAAAATATAAAATATAAAACATTAACCATCATACAACTATTAAACCAAGGACGACAATAAAACTCAATAGAGTCTATAATAAACATAGATATATATGCAAGTAATACTCCATAAAATGATTGTTGATGAGAATGATTTCCATTTTCTAACATATCATTTGATGTTAATATAGAAGAAACAACATATAAAATTAATAAATGATACATAGCAAAATGATAACTGCAATTCATTCCAAATAATAATTTTTCACAACATCTACTAAATCTACATGAAAATGGTCCAATACTTTGATAATAAAGGGACAAAGGTGCTGGTGGGTATTGAGGGAATGTAGTAATATAACTAATAGGACGAATGTCTGTTTCCATTGAATCTGAAGATGATAATAAATGAGAAAAGACAAGAAAGAAAAAAGTTGTAGCAAAAGAAAATGATGAGATACTTTTATAATTTGAATGAAAAGATTGACACATTGGGTCTTTGAGAAGGTCTGATAATTTTTTGATACATAATTTACAAAGATAATAAAAGACAATGTAATTAATGAGAATTGACAATTTTGGCAATAAAAGTTTTAAGTGTTCTTTTTCTGAACGTATAATTGACAAAATAGAAAGTAATATTGCTGTAATGATTGAAACATTTTGTGGATCCATTACAGATTTTTTAGTTAATGAAAATAATCTATTTCCCATTGACATTGTAAATTCATTATTAAACATAGACACAATTAATGTAATAACATAATATAATAAATATATAATTGGTAAATTTGATAATACAAAACATACAAAATATCTAAGAGGAGTTATTCCATTAGGTGAAAAAGAGACTTTCTTTTTTATAGAGTCATAATAAATATTCATCAAATGAAAATATTCAGTTCATTCTTATATCTATTTTTTAACAATTGAAGTAATGAAATGATTAAAACAAAAAAAAA